AATTTTATTGTTTGTTTTCTTCTGGTAATTGTAGGCTTTTATTCCTGCTCTTTGTCTAATTATTGGAGATGTTGGTTTAAGATGTTGATTTTTCCTCTTCTTTTTTGATGTGTGTGTTTATTGCTATAAATTGCCCTCTGATCACAGCTTTTGCTGTGTCCCAAAGATTTGATAGTATGTGTGTTTTCACTCTTGCTTGATTTGAGGAATTTTTTAATTTCATTTTTTATTCTATTACCCAGTGGTTTTTAAGGAGGATGTTATTCATTTTCCATGTGTTTGCTTTTTTGCCCCCTTGATCTTACTGTTGATTTCCAATTTTATAGCATTGTGACCTGAGAAAATGCTTTGCCGTATTTCAATATTTTTAAATTTATTGAGGCTTGCTTTGTGGCCTAACATATAGTCTATTCTGGAGAATGTTCCACGTGCATTGGAAAAGAATGTATATTGTGTTGTTGGGTGAAGTGTTCTATATATGTCTGTAAGGCAATTTGATTGGTTGTATTGTTGAGTTCTTCTGTGTTTTTGTTGAATTTCTTTCTAGTTGTCCTATCCTTTATTGAAAGTAGTATATTAAACTCCCCTACTATTACTGTGGAGTTGTCTCTTTGTCTTTTCAATTCTGTTAAAGTGTGATTTATGTATTTTGGGGCTCTTTCATTGGGTGCATAGATCTTTATTATGTTTATGACCTCTTGTTTGATTGATCTTTTAATCGTTATTTAATGCCTTTCCTAATCTCTTATTGTGGTTTTTGTCTTAAGGTCTATTTTATCAGAAATTATATATTGCCATTCTTGAAATTTTTTTTTTTAACTTTTTTGTTGTGATTTGGATGAATGTTTGCAGAGCAAATTTGTTTTCCATTCAACAGTTCATATACATTTTGTTTTGTGACATTACTTGAAATCCCCATAATGTAACAGCTCTCCTGCTGCTTCCTCCTTGAGGTTTCCTGTTCCCTGTGTCTTTTCCTATGCATTTCTGTCTTCTGAGCTTTCTGCCTGTAATAATGCTGGTCTCCCATGACTGATTCTTCTAAGAAGTGCATCACCATGATGTAGTTATTTGACTCATAGGCCTGTCTGTTGTTTGACTGAGAGTTAAGTCACAGGAGTGAATTCTGTTCCAGGCCTAAGGATGACTTGAAGCCGTAGGCTCGGGGATCCCACCAGTCTCTATCCGAACAGCAAACCAGTCTTTTTCATGTTTTTTAAAAAATATGTTTTCATATTTTTTTTCTCCCACTTTTCCAGGATCTCCAGTTTTGATCCCTTTCTGAGTTGTTGGCAGTGGTATCCAGCCACTGTCTAGTTCTTCTGGTTTCAAGGTTGTGTAGGCTGAGTTCCCTGTTCCTCCAGTCACTTGGACTAATTGTTTCCATGTATCTTTGATTTTCTTCACTCTTCTTTGCTCTAGATGAGGAGAAACCAGTAGTTGCATCTTAGATGGCCACTTGCAAGTGTTTAAGACCACAGATACTGCTCACAAAGTAAGATGTAGAACAATGTTTTTTGTGTAACTCCTGCTCTTTTTTTGATTGCTGTTTACTTGCTATATTTTTTTCTAACCTTTGATTTTTTAGTCTTTTTCTGTCTTTGTGTATAAGGTGTGTCTCTTGTAGACAGCATATTAATGGGTCATGTTTTCTTATCCATTCTGTAACTCTCTGTCTTTTGATTGGTGTATTTAATCCATTTATATTAGTATAAATAAAAAAATATGAATTTATTGCTGCCATTTTGTTATGTGTTTTTTGTGGTGATTTCTTTGTTCCATATAATTTTTTTGTCCTGAGCTTATTTATTTATTTATTTTATCATTTCCTTCCTTGCTAATGGCTTAGTATTTGCTAAAGATATATGACTTTCTTCTTTTTTATTTTGATGATGTTTATTACTTTTCTTTGAGGTTACCCTGTGATTATTTTCTTCCCAAGTCCGTTCTATCTTGAAATCATCTTGACTTCTTATTCATTTAGAATTTCTGTACCTACTCTTACTCCCTTTTTTTGCTTTGTAATCGTCCTCATTTATAGTTGATATCTCTTGTTTTCTGTTTACCATCTTGTAAGTTTATTTTACTTTGGATGCTTCTATATCTGGGTTGGTTTCTGGGTTATCATATATATTAATTATCAGTTGCTGTCTCTTGTTATTGGTTCTCTGTCCAAAGGACTCCCTTTAGCATCTCTTATAAAGTTGGTCTGGTTTTAACAAATTCCTTTAATTTCTGTTTATCTGGAAATGTCTTAATTTCACCATCATATTTGAGGAACAGTTTTGCTGGGTATATAATTCTTGGTTGGCAGTTTTTTCTTTCAGAGTTTTATGTATGTCATCTGATTATATTCTCACCTGTGTGGTTCTGCCGAGAAATCAGAGCTTAGTCTTACTCGTTGCTCTTTTAGGTAACTTTTCATTTTTCTCGTGCTGCTTTCAGGATTCTTTCATTATCTTTGGTTTTGGTAAGTTTGATTATGATATGTCTCAGTGATTTTCTTTTGGGGTCTATCCTGCGTGGAGTTCTTTGAACTTCTTGAATAAATATCTTCTTGTCTTTCATCATATTAAGGATGTTCTTTTCTAACAAATCTTTGACAATATTCTCTGTGGTTTTATTTGTCTCTTCCTGTTCTGGAATTCCAGTGTCATGTAAGTTACTCCTCTTGATAGTGTCCCACATAAACCTTAGGCTTTGTTCATTTAAAAAAATATATATATTTTTTTCTGATTATTCCCTTAATAAAATAGTATTGTGAGATTTCTGGTCAATCTTGCTAATTCTGTCTTCCATTGATTGAATTCTACTTCTTTGCCCTTTCAATGTGTTATCTATTTCTGAAATCTTAGTATCAATCATATGGATTTCTGTTTGCTGTTTTTGTATGATTTCTAATTTTTCATTTATTCTGTCAGTTTGTTCTTGTATTGTTTTCCTGAATTCTTCTGGAGTTTTGTCTGTTTTCCTTAAAGTTTGTTTCCAAGGGGGTACTAAAGGTGTGACTTCTCATTAAGGAGTACTTGACTGGAAGCTTTTCTCTCTAGGAATCTGAGTATCAGAGTGCTTAGAAGGAGATGGGCTCATTGTTTTTTGTTTTATCTTAATATTAAAAAAAACAGACTCACTGCCATTGAGTTGATTATGACTCATAGTGACACTCACTGGGTTTCTGAGGTGGTAAATCTTTACGGAAGTAGATAGCTTCATCTTCCTTTCATGGAGGGGCTAGTGGGTTTGAACCTCCCACCTTCTGGCTATCAGTCAAATGTCTTAGGCACTATGCAACCAGAGCTCTTCTAATTTTGAGATATAGGAATCTAAATAGGCTTGTGTTTGGGTATAAAGGAAGTGAGTTTTCCTCTCACTTGGTTTTGTTTCATTCAAAATTCATCAATTCACTTAGCTGTGACAGTATATCCTAGGCAAATCTGTATCTAATGGCCTGACTAACATATGTTTCTTGTATATTATTCTATCTCACTTTGCTTATAGCTAAGGAAGGTGTGACTGAGAAATGCCATCTGTGTTCCATTTAGGCTGGCACTTCATATTCATGCTGTATAGTTTTTGTGATGGAAAGGAACTGTAAGGAATCTGAGACAACTTTCTTATTCTTCTTGAGTCAGGTTCTCATGGTAACTTCAGCATGTTTTTCGAAGTATTGTAAATTCTTACCCAGATCATCCCTCTCATTCATGTTCAAAGATAAATACCACAGTATATCCTAAAACCAAATATAAGTGAGTTTTGAATTGGCTGCTATTTTAAATGATTCACATCCCTACTAACCTCCTCATCATAAATAGTTCTTGCAAATTTGTCAAAGGGACTAGAAGTCTAACTCAATGGATGTTTTAGAAATAAATGACACATTGTGGAAATTTCCCAAAGAGGCAGTTACTCTGTCACTTGAAACCCCAGCAAGAACATGCCTCACTATAAAAAGCAGGGATTCTGATGAGGGTGAAAATCTGTGTCCTGTTAACCAGCCCTACCCTCATTACTGGGAGCTCTGGTAGCATAGTGGCTAAGGCACTTGACTGCTAACCAGAAGGCTGGCGGTTCAAACCCACCAGCCACTCCTCGGAAGGAAGG